ACAAACTCGGGCGCTTTTATGCTATGCATACCGTCACAATGATGCATGCAAAGGCTGGCAGCGTCGGACCTGCCTTTATTGATGGTTATAATGCAGCTATGGCGGAGGGAAGTTCCAGTGACTACTAACCCCACGACACTCCTGATGACGTCCGCGAAGAATTCTACACCACGCACGTTTGAGATGATCTATGCAGCGGCGGAAAACAATGATGCCCCGCCATTCGACAGTACGTTTGTTGTACCTTGTTCCTGTTTCTCATTGGGGCTAACGAATTTGCTGTCAGGTGGTTGATGGTGGGGATCTCGGTAATGATTGCCGTCCCAACCATGTGGAGGCAAGAAGTCGCCCGGCAGCCAAAGTTTGAGAAGATTCCTGCAAGGAGTGGTCTTCAACTTCAGAGCCCCATTTGACCCCTCCCATTTAGGATCGAAACTTTCCATGCAGAATATGCCTACCCACGTGATGTTCCCTATGCTCAAAGCAATGTACTATTGTGACAAACAGAGTGACTACCCACTTGCAAGTCGTGCAACCGTCTGCAGTGTATCCTACGAATGCTGCAAAATTCATGTCCCTGTTACTTGGATGCATCAAGATATGACGTCTGCACTTGTCGGTCTAAATGCATCTCTTCCACATCAGAAATCGGAGACGGACCGAATCTTACATTTCAATTGGTCGAGCAGATGTTCATGGCCTCGATTCGATGCATGCACTTGTTATCAATGCCTTCGCGCAATTAAAACTGTAAAGTCGGGTTCAGGTTAGTCTCCCGTAGTCAAACCCTATCAGAATGAAAACAGTCGTTCCTTCTGTATTAGGGGTTCAGATGGGTTTTCCCTGTGTGTGGACACGACCACTTGACACCAGGTGTGTAGATAGACACACAGGAAGTTGGTAACCTCTGGTATCATTGCATATTACGTCTATAAATTACGATGTCATGTGAGCCTCGTTCCATGGATCCGACATGCACCACTCATAAATCACTGCTACTTAACCCCATGGAGGATGTCACGATGACCAGGGCAAATCGATAATCCCAAACCGAAGGAGCAGATGTGCTCCTTTGTGCCGATGGTCGGCTCATCATAGTACATAGATCATAGGAAGGATATTATCTTAAGAATAACTTGGCAGTACCTCGTGGTAGGCTAGTGGCTACGGACCACGTTGGCCAATTGTCTATGAGCTCAGATGACCGGTACCTCCCGTTCATGTCGGCGTGCACAGCAAGTTATTAGTGCTGTAACAAAAGACGAATTGCTTACCGCCGCGGAAGATTGGAACTACTAGAAGGATGCGGCACCACAATTTCAAATTGAGAGATGAGTTCGAGCCTCGAGACTGCAAGATCACTTGGTAGTTAATATTAGTTGCGGTGCAAGTTTCAAGCTTGAGGGAGTAGCTACAGTACTAGCCTTAGACCTTGGTCAACAGAGGTTCTCGTTCACTTTGACTCGTCTCCAGATCACAATTTACCTGTAGAATTATCATCCAAGCGGGGAGTGCCAGCGAGGTACACTTTGTTATAACGAGTAACCAACCTAGTCCAACTTGCCGGTACCTTAGAGTATATTATTATTGAGTAACGATCTAAGTATCCTGTAGATTTTAGTATTACAACAACCTTGCAGGAACCACGCTAGGGCCTGCGACAGCCGCATCATGGACATGCATATTCTCAGTGACATGACTGCAGGCGTAGGCCACGATTTCGATGTCGATTTTAGTATGGGATATGCTTAATATCCACTACCATTGTATCTAGTCTATAAGCGTAAGAGTGAGCAGTGAAGCCTCTTGGTGGCTTTAAATGTATCATATAGCCGATGGTGACTTTTCTTCACGACGACTAAAAAGCGATGCGTTTGACAATTGCAAATTGCCTTGGATCAACGACGTCTACTAAACCCAAGCGCTACTAGCCTACTACCAAACGAGCGATATAGCACCGATACTAGCATCAAAACCAGTGATCCTGATCCGGGCCAGTCTGATGGCCTGTGGAATGTGCCGCCTTAATGGCTCTTAATCGTCGCAAGCTTGGCGGGTTCACAGCTATGGGGTTGTAGCTAACCAAATCTGCCCTCAATGATTCGTCACAAGCGATCATTAAGTAGAAGCGCTGCTGCACAGGGACAATCCTTGTCGCTCTGGGCCGATTACCATTCGTAAGCGGTTAAACAGCCGTACATTAGCCTATATAAGCTGTGGTGAGCTCATCCATCTCCACGCCAACTCTCTCTCCTTCCTTCGTTTCGACCTCTCCCAGGTCTGAGACAGAACAATGAAGTACAACAAAAGCTTCACGGCCATTGTAGCCGCCGCCCTGGTTCCAGGTTCGCTCGCTCAGACATGGTACGCACAGTTTCGATCTTGCACCTGGATTGCTGATCCCTAAATCTTTTCAGGTGCGGAAAAAACTATATGGCAAATCAGTCTGTGGTGCCCCCTGGCGGACAGTTTGTTTTGCCCGCCCAAAGTGTTGAACCCCTTCTGTCCTTCCGTTGTGCTCCTGTCTTCCGCCCATACCTCGAGGAGGATGCAAAGAGCGCAGCATTTGTAGTTGATACACCCATTGTTTACGACTGGATCGCCGGTGCTCAGTCCATCACACTTCCCTCCAACTCCAGCTCTTCTAGCGCCTCTACTGGCCTAGGAAGCCTCAGTGTCACCATCAAAGTGGGCTCCGTCCATACCACCGCAAACGTCCCTCTGAACGCTACCGGCGTTCAAATTCCCGTAGATATCAGCAAGCTTGAGGCTCAGAAGACTGCATACAACGTCAGCTGCTCCGCTACATACTCTGCCCCTTCGTCTTCGACGTCCCAGTCTGCAAAGAAGCAGAAATTCAAGACTAGCGCATCCCTTTTGTATCTCCCTGACACAACTACATCCGTCACGAAGACTGACTTGCGCACTGGTGCACTTTGGGTGAGGCCTGCAAATGGCACGGGTGGAGCATTTGCGCCCTTCATCCCTCAAGGATTCTACATAAATTTTGACACGTATCTGGCCAAAAATTTGACCATGATCGATCAGCTCAAAGCCGATGGGTTCGTCTTACATTCTATCACCTCTTAAGCAACTATTTAACTCTCTTTCCAGGTTTAACACTGTATGTTTCGCAATCATCTCATGCATCCCGTGCTGAACGTCTATTCCCTAGCTTCACCCAATTCCTCCTTATGACAACCTTACTATTTTCCAACAAGTCATCGACAAGACCATCAGTGCTGGCATGTACATCGTTTATGATATGCGATCGTATGTCAGATCTTGTCATCTCATCTCATGTTTATTGATATCTTTCTATTCAGGAACTACCAAAACTTGACCGCTGTCGCTCAACAAGTAAACACTTACGCTTCAATTCCCAACCTATTGAACTGGGAGACCGCGCACGAACCCGATGGCAACTCTGACCCTCAAACTGCGGCGCGGGCGACATACGACTTAATATACCAGATGGACGGTTATCACCCCATCTCTATTGTTCTGAATTGCGAAGACTACAACTTCTCTCCTTACGTCACGGGCGCCGATATCGTTCTGGAGGTGAGCCATTAATAAGATTTTCATCACTCGCATTTCTAATCCCAGGTGTAGGATGCTTACCCTATCGGAATTAACGCCACATTCTCTCCTGTGTGGCACACCGAATGCACACCGGACTTCGGTCACTGTGGTTGCGACAACTGCTCAGGCAACCTATCCGATATCAAGACGCGTATCCAGACCTACAAAGACAGACTCAACATCTTGGGCTTTGACCGCACGAAGTCCGTTTGGACCACGCCCCAGGCCTTTGGCAGTGGCGCGTAAGTCACCTTGAGTTCCCAATACGATCTGCGTTTTGACACTCTTTACAGATACTGGAACACCACTCCCACCGGGCAGCAATGGGCAGCTATGGATTTCACTTCTTTCAGCCATGGTGCTCTAGGTAAGATATGCCGATACCCCGCATATGGATAACACTGATTTGCGTTGCCAGGTTCCAAGTCCTTCCAATACCCGACTACAACCGGCAATGTCGAGACAATCGAAGGGACGGCAGGTAACCTCACTGTTCTCATCAAAAACTTTGTTCAGCCCTTCATGGTCGACCCGAACGCCACATTTGTCAGCTATGACTACCAAGGCGTGGATGCGGGTGTCTGGCACAACGGCACTGCATACTTGCTCCTCGTTTCCAACCTGGTCAATGCGTCAGTCTACGTACCATGGACGGCAATTGGATTGCCAGCTTCGACCACCAACGCAACGACGCAGGTACAGCGCATATTCTCCGTCTCGCAGAACACCAACCTCACTGGTCTGAACTTCCGACCTGGAGGCATTGGTATTTACACTGCGACGCCTTGAAATGGTTATAGAGTGAGGACTAAGGAAGTTGGAAATCAATGATCCTAATGACATTCTAATATTGGCTTATTCTTTCGATTTTAGATTACTGTTCATGATAAATATATAACGACCAATGTATATACGTCTACAATTTTCATGACATTTTGTGGGGCTTCCTCTGAATGCACGAAGACGGAACTTGCCGCTATTTGAGTTGAATACCTGGGGATGCCCGCTACAATACAAACTAGAGATGGAAATTAACCCCAGTATTCACCGCCTCAGGCACTGGGTTGATACGTACGTATCATGCTGTAGTTCGTTACGCGATAGAGAGGTTCGAGAAGATCTAGAAGTACTTACGGCCTCCCCCCTGTAGTAGTGCCTTCAGTTGGACTCAACATTGACGTGAATATATATATATATCCGTACGTATGCGTACACTAGCGTACACTGCACAAGGTCGTATTTTGAACGGACAAGATAAAAGAAAGAATGAGATCAAAGGAACGGACGTTCTGTAAGGAACCAATCATTTGTGAGTACCAAGAGCATACATAATCTGACTCAAGCTCAAGAACTTACGGCCCCCCTTGTAGCGCCTTCAGTTGGACTTGAGTTAAGTAACATTGACGTGAATTTTATATATATATCCATACGTATACGTACATTAGCGTACACTGCACAAGGCCGTATTTTGAACGGACAAGATAAAAGAAAGAATGAGATCAAAGGAGAGGACGTTCTGTAAAGAACCAATCATTTGTGAGTACCAAGAGCATACATAACCCGACTCGAGACCCGTATTATGAAGATAACAATAAACATAAAAAAAGAAATACGAAAAGGAGATGAGAAACGCGCGCGCACGGAAATGAGAGTGTCGATGAAAGTAAATTCACAATAGTGTCAGCCAGAACTGACTCAAGGCTTACCACCTACAGCTACCCAATCACAAGCGTGCATGTAATTGGAGATGAAGGTCGGCATGCGGAGCACCGTCTCACGTCGCAGCTCGCTACTGCTGCATTCCTCGCTGCACATGACAAACCTCCCCTGCCCGCCCTCCGTTCCGGTGAAAAGGCAGACCGTGGGAGGCCTATGCGCACGGAAATAGTAGATCGTGCCCGAGATGGTATCGACGAGAGTGAACATGTGGCCTTCCATAGGGTCGAATGGTGGGGCTGCGAGAGCCGCTTCGTACTGCGAAATGTGGCCTTCGCGGAACCTGGAGTCACCTCCTCTCGGTTTCGCCAAAGGCGAACCTGTAGGAGTGTAAAGGGTGCGACGAGAATCACCAATCTGACCTCCGTATAGGTAGAAGGAGGCTTGCTGGGCAGAGATGACTCCTTTCACTCCAATTAGCCATGGACAAGCAAGGACGACTCGTCCGGAGTGCCCATAGGTTGTCATGACTGGCGCGAATATCAGCAGAATGATTGAGAGGATTAGCAAGACGGCGCCGCCGGCAGCAGCTCCCTGGGAAATTGTGGCGCAACCCACTATGAAGAGGAGAAAGGCGAAATATGGCTCTGTAAGTGCCATAGCACGTCGAAAAGAGCGGCTCGTAGCGTAACCGATGGATGGGAAATCCTTCCACCTAATGACTGCCGCCCGACATCCATCTAACACAAGAGAACCATTAGATGTAATGCCGATGGCCTGTACAGTGGGCTCGATATCCCAAAGCTTGGCACCATACTCGTCTTCTTTAGTGTACCATTGATTGATCCCTGCTCTGTCTCCGGGAAACATTGAGATCATGCGATCAGCGATACGGTCGTTATCGTTCGCCATAAACAGGCGCGCGAGCGCTTGCAGCTCAGTCTCCTCGGCGTTTGGGAGAATGCGATGTTCAAAAAATCCCATGAGCGCATAGACCTTCTCTGCGCGATATCTCCCCTGGCTGTTACTCTTTCGGCGCCATATTGCTTCTGTGAGTTGGAGATTGCGGTCCAACCTCTCGAGCGGATCCTTCCCGAGGCCGAAAGAGTTGATAATCTGGGATTCTTCACCGTGGTGCTCGTATGCTAAAGAGGCGAGTTGGATGAGAGTGATGGGGGTGACCGCGTTGTTTCCAGTCTTGTATAGCAATTCGCGACTAAGGAGAACTTCTGGTAGGGTCCAGATACGGCCACCATAACCGCGCCAAGCGCTCTCACTGCTGAGAACAATAAGCGTGAAAGAGGCGAGTCTGTATACATCCGCCATGCGATACAGGTCTTCGTCCTTCTGTGCGGGATCTTCGAGTAAGCACTCGAGATCTAGCCAGTACGCATCAAGTCCCTGATTCAAAGTAGCCTCCTGCGACCGTCGTTTGATCACCTCCTCACCGCCTCCGGACGTTGTCATGTCGTAGTAGGAGTACGTGATGGCGACATAGGGTTTTCGCACCGCTACTGCCTCAACATTGACTTTTTTCCAAGTCCTCGCCTGTCTATCATATACCATGAGGAAGCGAGGGTAGAGGGCGTGGGTGATACGTCGGACGCGTCCGTTCTCTTCACCAATTCGTGACCGTAGAGAGTATTCCTTTGGTGAACGTGCAGCCCACAGTTGACCGACAAACCGCATCAAATATGGATTGTAATGAAAGGTAAACGGGCGGGGCGCTCTCCAGGATGGAAGAAGTAGCGCGGCGATATAAGCGAGCCAGACGAATAACCACATAAAGGTTTCGTTGGATGGGTTAAACATTCGTCCTGGTCAGCCACGCAGCATGCCGAGTGGATGGTGGAGCACTTGATCGAACGCCGTGTTCGATCCAGTCATTCGACGGACTGGGATTGACGGACTGCACATTGAGCCCCCTGCATTTCCCGGTAGTGGAGCTAGTGTATTGCTGGATATTTCCGTGATAAAAGGGCTTGAGCTGGCTGCTATAGCAGTGGGGTTGTTTCTGATCAGTGGGTGTCGGCACGGGATTCATTGTCTAATGGCTGAGTAATAGCAATGTTGGTCAAGGAATGTTAGATGATAAAGCCGAACGCAGAGCTTACCACGGGCAGAGGTGAAAGGCTTACCGTACCAGCTTTCTGAACGGTCTTTTAAAGCTTGCAAGAGGCGCCAAGAGACGGCTCATCAAGGTCCATGATAATATGCATCCAGACTGCCGTAGACGGATCAAGGATCTCGTAAGTCGACAAGTGCGAAAAGAAAGGAAGTCAAATTACCCATTGACTCAGGGCAGGATACTAATTAGCCCTTTACAGATTGTTCCTAAAAATATGAGAACTTGCGATGCTGAGATGGGTGGTTGCTGCCGAGCTCGACTTGCAGGATGAGAGACACTGATCTATCTTATTATTATCCATGGGAACGTCAAGGTAGTATCGTGTGGTGCTAGTATGTGGTGTCAAACAGCAAGAGTCGAAGATTTTTTGTTTCCTCCCCGGTTTGAGCTCGGGAGAGTCTGGGAGATCACCGCTCCTGAGGATCAAATTATGGTGCTGATCACGGCTTTTCAGGGTTCCTGTGTGCCAATCTCCCCAAGAGGACGAAAAATTCTTTCCTATCCATAGGCTGCCGTGCCAGTGGTATGATGCCAAGGGGGGCAGGGAGCGTCAGATGGACCCTCCCTGAGACGTGCTGAGACTGTGATAGGACCTGATAAGAGACAGGGAGGCAGGGCTGGGCTGGGCTACACCGGTAGATGCCAAGGGATATCCCGTCCAAGGCACAAGAAGACGTAGCTGACGGCATGAAACCGAACAAAAAAGCAAAACAGCACCAGAGCTGCGAGCATAAAAAATTTGATGCGTGCCACGCCACTAAGTACATTTGCGCAAACCCTGCCAATCATGATCCGATACCCTCGGGTTCAGGGATGCTGTTATTTCGGGCTCTGGCGTGTGTAATTTATATATATATGCGTACGTATACGTACACTAGCGTACACTGCACA